GCAAGTGTTGAAATCCACCAGTCGGCATGTGCAGCAGTGCTGGGGACAGACCCCTCCTCAGGAGTTTTGACTGCCTCGAGCTGCTAAAGCAATTGGGATATTGGGGAGCACCATTGCCAAGTCCCAGACAGCAGCTGGGTGGGGGGCAGTTGCCATCAAGGACTTCATGTGCAAAATAGCCAAGGTCAACTCAGGTGCCAAGCAGGTGCTGGGCGTCTCCAAAGGCTTGGGGTGGGACAGATGACCACATGAGGGGCACACATGCAACCCACCACTGTCACTGTGGCACCTGTGACCCTGAATGTCCACTCCAGACCTCAGGGGCAAGCCCCAGTCCTCTCACATCTGCCCCCAAGGAGCAAATCGCCAGCAGAGGTTCCCAGAACAAAGCTTGCAGTAGCCAGACACGATGTAAGGAAAATGGAGTCACCTGGGCTCTTTCTCACCTTCCCGCTGCTAGCCTCTAGGTTTTCCTCCTAGGTTTTGTTGCCCACGTGTGATAACGTGTTATTACAAAAAGCCCTTGGGAGCACAAGCACAGGGTATGCGCACTTAGGGACCCCTGAGCCAGTAGTGAGCTCGAGAGAGAGAAGACAGAAAGCTTGGAGAGTGCAGGGGCTGAGAGGCTCGGTTGCTGCCCACCTCCCTGCCTCCGTGCCTGCTGGTCTGCCTGCGTGCCCAGCCCCCTGCTTCATCATTAAAGGCCCTTCCAATCTATTGAGGGCTCCAAGATTCTTTTCCATTTGCCTGAATCAACTGTGAACCTGCCCAGCCTGGGATGGTTGCCACCACAGGCATCCTTAGGTTTCACAACAGCCAGGAGGATCCAAGAGGATAACCTGGCCAGGAACGCTTGGTCCTGCAATGCCCAGACCAGCCCTCACAGTAGAGACCCCACCAGTCCCAAATGCCAACAGACCCGTGCTGAGAAACCCTGATCTCCCGGCTGCAGCACGTGCAGCCTGGGCCCTCAGCCCCAGCTGTACCGGGCAGTTGGCCACAGCACCCCGCAGGCCTGGGTGAGACCCTAAACTCCCTGAAAGAGGCTGTGTGTGCTTGGGCAAGTGAAGTCCCCCCTCTGAGCCTCAGCTGCCGCCACTCTAAAATGGGAAGGACAGCATCTGCCTCTTCCGCTTGCAGGAGGACTCAATGGGATTGTGGGTATAAAGGGCTTAACTCACTTGTGTGAAAAGTCATAACACAGACACGGGGCCATCCTGGGTTGAAGAGAGTCTCCCCAAATTCATGTTTAATCAGACTCTCAGCCTGTGACTTTATTTGGAAAGTCTTCGCAGATGTAATGAAACTAAGATGAGGTCACACCAACTCAGAGTGGGCCCTACGCGTCTAAGAGAAAAGAGAGGGGCATCCAGGCCCCAGCCACACAAGGGGGGCGGCCATATGAAGACAGAGGCAGAGACTGAAATGGTGGAGCCACAGGCTAGGGAGCACTCACAATTGCTGGCAACCCCAAAACCTTGGAGAGGGCTCCTTAGAAGGAACCCTGTTCACACGTTGATTTTGGACCCTGGCATCCAAGAACTATTAAAGATTACATTTGGGTTATTTCCAGCCAACCAGCGGTGGTATTTTTTCATGGCTACCCTAGCAAATGAATCTGGGGTTGGGTCTTACTGCGCTGCGGTTACCATCACCCGTGCACATGCACTCAGGCCCCCAGGAGAACGTGAGCGCGTCTGCTGTGCAGCCTGCAGCGGGCACATCCACCACTAGAATGTGTCTGGACCCCAGTGTCCTCCCCAAGGAGAAGGGCCATATCTCCAGTTGCCCCGCTGTATTGGGGGTACACAGTCTGTGCCAAGTTCTGGGGCCTCTGGCTTTACCCACCGCACCGGGTCACAGCACTGCTCGTGTCAGGCACCACAGGGGAGTCTGGGGGGCCACCACACTGTCCGTGTGCTGACACTGTCCCCTTGGGGGTCTACAGAGAGGTGGGCATCTTTGGAGGACACAGACGGAGCCAAGCACAGACTGGGGCCTCTGCGCACATGTGTCTATGGAAAGGACTCGGTGCGCCCCACGGCGTCTCTAGAAAACACGGTGTTTCGCGCAGAGCAAGCCTGAGGGCCCAGGAGCACCTCCCAGACGGCATCGCAGCCCAGAGGATGTTGGCCCTGCAGAAACGGCTCTGAGAAACCCCGAGTAGCTGTGGCACGTGGAAAGCAGAGAAGGAGGAAAATCCATTTGGGGCCAAGAGCGCTGTCTGAACTTTGTCCTTTTCTCAAGCAAAAGAAAATATTATTTCACCCTCTAAAGAACCACACATAATAACAGGCGAAATGTCAAGACCAATGTTGATCTAAACCCCCAAGGAAAACAAACATCTCCGTACCTTCTCCGTGGCCTCCCCACCTCACCCTGCTCAGCTAGTTTAAACAGATCTAGCAGTGGGCCGAGGGGAGGCGGGGAAGCGGGAGAAGAGGCCCGGCTCTGAGAGCTGGGAGGCAGGCCGGGGCACTCCGGGGCCAGGAGCCAGCTGGGAGCGCTTCCTCGAGCCTCGTCTGGGAAGGCCACGCAGATCAGACCCGCTGTTAAGTGCTCAGCCCGATTTAAGATCTCACAGTCCCTCCCTGGCTGTGTGACCTTGGGCAAATAGCCTCACCTCTCTGAACTGCGTTTCCTCGTTGGCAAACGGGGAGGCTGGCGTGAGATAACGCAGGCAGGGCACCACGCATTATGTAGCGTGGATATGGCACATGTGCTGCAAAGGAGCTGCCATGACTGATCACTACTCACCAGCCCACTTGGCTCTGCTGGGGTGGGAGGTGGAGGGGGTCAAGTCTAGGGAATGGCCCTACGCTGCGTGACTGTGGGAATGAACATTTCCAGTCGCCCACTGGTTTTCCCAGCACTGGTCTCGCTGCTCCGTTGGAATCAGCTTGAATCCAGCAGCCTTGTGTCCGTGATCCCTGAGTGGCAAGCGAGGAAATAGAGGCTTGGAGACTTCTTAAGGTCACGCGGCTGGAAAGGGGCTAAGATACAAAGCCAGGACTTTCGGTCTCCAAAAGCCCCAGGCAGGCATGACCCAGGCACGACTTCCTGGAGGGGTCCAGGAAGCTGGAAGCTCAGATCTAGTTGCAGAGATCACAAGCCTCTCTGCGCCCCGGAATGTGTGTTAGGGAGATGTTAGGTTACCCTGCCCGAGACACCCCCAAGTTTGGTGCTGGTTTCAAACCAGCCCCTGATTCTTAACCCTCCTACTTCCTTCCAGGTGATCCTCTTAACTTGCCGTTCCGTTCTTTTCTGGATTGAAGGCAATACAACAACTATTTGTTGAGCTCCTTCTCCTTGCTGGCCCTGGGCTGAATGCTGGAGACCCAGAGTTTAGCTCTCCCAGGATCCAACCTCAAGGAATCCCCAAGCCAGTAATGGGAGAGAGTGGGGGGCAGATATAGCAAGACTTACGATATAACACTCGCTCTGGCAGGATGGCTGGAGAAGGGTTTCTGAGTTTTCAAAGAGAATCTAAAGGAGGTGGCATTCGAGAGGAAACTTAAAAAATGAGCAGCGGTTTGCCTGGACCAGAGAGGAAGGGAGCTGGAGACAGCAACTCATTCCAGTGCCCAGAGACATGATGCCTGGAGGGCATCCGGGGTGATAATGACATGGAGTGATGAGGGGTGAGCCAAGCTCCCCCGATGAGAAACTGAGGCTGAGAAGCTTGAAGTGGCCTGGGATGCTGAGGGGGGGGGGGTTTCCAAGATGTGCAGAGGTAGAGCAGAGTGGATTTAGCTCCCAATGTGGAATAGGGGGCGGGGGTACAGAGAATGAAGAAGAGGATGTCTGCAGGATGCTCTGATTTCACACCCGGGCAGGGGCTGACCTTGGCACCTCCTGGTGAGATGGGCAGCCCATAAGGAAGGCTAATAAGGTGTCCCGTGGGGGGATGAAGTGGGTGGTCCAGTGAAGACACGAGGACAGCAGGAGGCAGTTGGCTATGTGGTCGGGAGAAGCCAGAGCAGGGGTACAGGTCTGGACCTCACCTCTATGGTCAAGGTGGCTGAGTTTGCCTGGCAGGAGAGTGGCCTGGCTTGGAAATCTGGGGCACACCAATACCTAGGCCATGGAGCCATGGGAGAAATGGCAGGAAGGGGTTATTTCAGGGGAGGGGCAAGATCAGAGGGCAGAGCCCAAGGAGCAGAGGGGGTGGAGGTGAGGAGGTGGGCAAGGAGAGGTGGCCTTAACTGGTCTTTTTTAAGTTGGCAGGAAATGAAAAGAGAGATCCATGGTGGTAGCTAGCAGGAAGCTCAAGGTGAAGAGGGGGTTTTATTCCCCAGTGGGAGACTGGAAAAGCTATTGGTCATTTAGAAGCTCAAGTCACAGCAGCTGATGGGGCACTGGAGACAAGGAGGTCCAAGTGGAGGCTACCAGGGGTGGGGTCCAGAGCCTGGGGTGGCGATGGGGCTTCGGCAATGAGACTGAGCAGCAAAGGGGATGAGCTGGGACATCCCGACCCTGAAGGGCAAGAGATGAGGGGCAGGGGTTGGGCTCTGCAGGGGCAGAGAGGTGGAGGGCACAGGCCCTGGTTCACATGCCCTGGTTTGCATCCCGGCCCCGCCCCCCCAGCTACTGACCCTGCAGCACCCCCAGCCGCTGTCCCCTCACCCCCGGGCCTGGAAGGCAACAGTCCCTGCCTGAGGGAACAAACGCTACAAAGGCATTCGGTGCATTCGGCCCAGGCCCCAGAGCAGAGGACCTGGATAAATGTTGGCGCATAAGAATAATAAATAATGAGGAGTGATCGAAGGGTTTTGAAGCCGGGAAGTGACAAGGTCAAATCTGTATTTTAGAGCGACCCCACTGGAGGAGGAGGTAGCCTTGGGGAGAAACTAAAAGGTCGTGCCCTTCTCGAGGTATTTCTCTGAAGTCTGTGGGAAGTTTGTAGTGTCAGGTTCAAGATTTTATTGGTTCCATGTTTGGTTTTTGATTCTGCAGTTTCCTCGGGTCCTGACGCATCCGATGCCTGCCTCACTGGCCTGGCAAGTTGGGCCTATTTGGGGCTTCGAGGTACATTTCAGAAATTAAATAAGCGAGTGGGAACATCAATTAATAACCGGGCGGTTGGACTTGGGGGCGGGCCTGGGTGGGGACCAGTGGGGGTTTGGGTGGTCCTGTGACGCTCAGAGGAGGAAGGAGCAGGGTGCGGGTGGTGGGCCCAGGAGGGGAGGGGCTGGGGTGCGTCCTTGTGACTCTAGCCTGTTTCTCAGGGAAGATCAACAACGGGGCTTCAGACCCTGGTCAGCCCTCCCCACCCTCCTTGAGACCCAGAGATACAGCTTCCATCTGGAACCAACATTGACATATGGGGGGAGGGTGCTGGGGTCCACAGCGGGTGGCAGGGCTTGGGACAGGGTGAGCTGGAAAAACAGCAGAACCAGTAATACTGGCCATGGTTACCACTGAGCGCCTCCTGGCGGCGGGCTCCTTGTCCATCTGCCTGGCCCTCTGTTGAGATGGTTGTTAGCCCATTACACAGAGTTGTAAACTGAGGCACAGACAAAGCTGCTTATCCAGAGCTGTATTAGCGCCCATGAGGGGGCACCCCCCAGTCTTACCCATCCGGCTCCAAGGACCCTGGCCTGTGAGGAGCCTTAGTCAGGGCTTCCTCCAGCAGCCCCAGGGAGGCTGGATCTTCTGCCTATAATCCAGGCCCCAGGTAGAAAGACCCAGCAGAGCAGGTGTCCCGCCCCCTCTCCACAAACCTGTTGTGTGACCTTGGCCAAGCTCCCCCCTCTCTGAAGTGTGGCTGCCACCTCCTCAGTCAAATGGCTCAGGGTCTAGTCCCTGGGGCCGGCTTGTGGATTTCACTGGCTCCTGCTTATCTCGGACCTAGCACACAGTAGGTGCTCCACAGAGGCCCAGGCCCTCTTCCCAGGGCTTCCCTGTCAGGGACGATTATCTCCATGGAATCCACGCTGTGAAAATAAACATGAACTCAAGTGGCCCCGGTCTCCGTGGCAGCCAAGGGGAAGCTCGGTCCCCAGCCTGTGTCTGTTCTGGGCAAGAACAAAAGTTTCCCTGTGAAGTTGCCCCCACCCCCGCTTCCCTTCTGGAGCCAGCTGGGGTGGGAAGGAGAGGAGGGGGCCAGGCGTGCAGCTCAGCTGCCTGTCAAAACCCGGCCTCCCCCGACCCAGTCCCTATCTGCCCCTCGGGGCTGAGGCAGGCAAGGACCTAAAAGCTCGGGAGCCCCAGGGGCAAAAAGCTGGAGAGACGACCCCACTGGTGACCCTGGGGGTGTGCCAGGTTGTTCTCGCACAGGGCACCAAACCCAGTCACCCATCTCACACCCTGAGCCCGCCAGTGCCCCTGATTAGAGCCTCTCCTGGCGGCCTTCAGGGAGCAGGCCTGACGCAGCAGAACCAGCACAGAGCTTGTGCTCAGAGAAACCACGCACATCTCGACCCCATCACGACTCCGTGAGACCTCGGGCAGGCGAGGTCCTCTCTGAATCCCATTTCTGCGTCCCTGTCCCAGAACGGAGCGCCTGGTTGGGGCTGGCAGGCAGCCACGTCCAAGTCCAGCAACAGGCTTCAGCCCAGCAGACATGTGCACCCACAGAGGCTGGGCAGCACCTGGGAGCAGATGTGAGTGCCCCCACAGTGGGCTCAGGCATGTGGCAGCCTGGAGGACAAGGTAGCTGGGGTGATGAGGGCAGGGCTTGAGGGAGGAACAATAGGCCCCAGAGAGAGAAAAGTCCAGAACCATGAGCCAGACCCAGCCCAGGGCCCGAGGGGCAGAAGGGCGGGCAGCAGGTGGCTCAGGGCAGCTGTCCCCAGGCCAGTTTGGACACAGCTCTCCCCAAAGCACAACCGCTCCCTGGGACAGGGGGGCTGCGTGGAAGCAGCCGCTTCAGGAGGCGCTGGTCCTTCCTGGGCCCCAGCAGACCTGCCGCAGGCCCGCTCCCCTGTGTCATGGGATCCACAGGGAGGCGCCACAGTGGGGACCGGTGTTAGACAGGGGCAGAGAGGACAGAGGGGCTGTCAAATGACAACCAGAACGGCTGTGGGTTATATCTCAAAAATAACACAATTGAGGGGTTTATTTTGAATTTGGATTTTGATCTTGTATCTCGCACGCTTCCTAAACTTCCGTATAGTACGTTAGTTTTAACAACTTCTTTGGAAGTGACATTGGATTTTCTACATAGATGACCATGTCATCTGCAAATAAAGGCAATTTTATTTTCCTTGCAAAATAGAATGATAACCAGGACTTAGTGTTGGTGCAGGTCACACACCGCTGCAGGCTGGCGCTAGTTTGTGCTCACAGCGGGCTGGTGGCTCCGCGTGCTCCCCACAGGGTGATGTGAGAATTCAGGACATCAGTGCTGTAAGAGTGTCTGATGGGGAGTGAGATTTGGAGCCCAATTGTCTGGAAAAGATACTTAAATGTTTAATAATGTGTGGTTGTGTACGAATGCTTGTGCCCCGCCCCCCAGTTCAGATGTTGAAGCCCCGTCCTCACTGGGATGGTATTTGGAGGCAGGGCTGCTGGGAAGTTCTTAGGTCATGAGGGCGGCATCCTGCTGAGGGGGATCAGTGTCCTTATCAAGAGACCCCAGAGAGCTTCCTCATCCCTTTGTGAGGACACAGCATCTTTGAACCAAGAAGCAGGCACTTAAATGGACTAAAACATGTATTTTATTCAAAAATTCATCATTTTGAGATGGATTAAAATGTCAGGTTTTTAATCTGTAAAACTCTTCAACTCTGCCTAGTCTTAGAAACAGATGATCAGAAAATTATGAAATGCATGAAGATGTATAGAGATCGATCGGTTGATAGAAAATAGAGATTATGCTGTCACAACATTTGTACAAAAATAAATGATCTGGAGAGCCAACAGGAGATTGGAAGTCTGTGTGGCCACGGTTCATGATGTGTTTGGTCTCTAAGCGAGGAGACTGGTCACAATATAATATTAGAAAATTATCCCATCTGGGATTTTATAAATATATATGTAGGAAAACATCTGGATGAAAAATACTTCAAAATATTTACCTGATTTTCCTGAGAGGCAAAATTAAGAGGCATGTGCCCTTTTCTCCCTGATAATCATTTTGTTTATCTGTACTTTCTTGCTTTTTGACAATTTCAGTTATAACAACATGAACCACTACCATTTAACGAGTGTATTGATATATTCCTGCCAAGCAGCGTAGTGAAGGCTTGCTGTATGTTTCCTTATCTAGGTCTTTTCACCACCCTGAGAGACAGATACTGTTGCTTACAAGAAGCATTCTTTCCATGGAAAGTGACCAAAAATCCTACTCTGACCAGCATGATTAATTGGATCTTGTCAAGGGAAGATCATGTTTGGTGTCAAGCAGGGGCTCAGAAGCTGTTGGCACATTGGTTTCTCCTGGCGATGCTCTTCTGGGGCAGCTGCATTCTCAGCAACCCATTGGAATTGGGAGTAAGATGGCCCCAAGGTGGCTGCTAGACACCCTCACAACACACAAGGCTGTGGAGAAGTGGTCACAAAAGCCCTAAGGGACTCTCCATTGGTCACATGACCCTTAGGAGCCAATCTCCGAGGCAGGGGATGAAATACACTGACCCTCACAGAGCCAGAGTGACATCATAATTCAGAATGGGAGAGAATCGATTCTCCCAAAGCCAAGGCCAGCACCAAGGCAGGGGAGTTGCTAAGGGGGTGGGCTGGGAAGATGGGGGTCATCCACCACAGTTATCATCTCCAGCTTACCCATGGAGCTCAGAGTGGGAAAGAAAGAATTTGTTCAGAATCACAGAAAGATTTGAACCGCCATTGTCTACCAGCAAAGACCATAAATTCATTTTCCACAAGATATCGCCTGCCTTGATCATGTGGGTAGTGTTTTGATTCATTTAGAAATGAAATAAAATCATAAGCTGCCATCAATGGGTTTGGAGTGCCTGGCTGCTTGAGATGTGGACATATGAGATACCTGTTCTGGATGCTTCCTTCCAAGATGGTGGCCATCCAGGTGCTTCATATCTTTCCATCAAGACAAGCAGCCAAGAGTATCTCTGACTCCAGAAAAAGGCAAGTTCAGCTCCGGAAAAAAAGACGCTCTTATCACGCAAGTTACAGTAATAAGAGCTGATATTTAATGGTGGCTTAGCATGTGCCAGGCATTGTGCTATTGAGGCCCCGTGACTGCCCATGCAGGTGGGAACAGGTGCTTCCTTGTGTTACAGGCGAGGGAACTGAGAGCAGAGTCATGAGGCTCCTTGCCAAGGACATCACAGGTGGAACAGGGCTTCGGTCAGGTCTGACTCCAGAGCCAGCCCTGAGTCACACACTCGGATGCCTCTGTCACAGTCTCTCTGCGGAGAACGTGTGGTGCCTGCAGAGACCAGCATGGCAGCAAGCGACTGCTCATGTTCAGCTCCGAGCAGCAAAGGCGCCAAGGAAGGCACTAGATGGCTCGTTCACGGCACGTCCCTGGGTGTTTGCCTGAGAAAGATTGTGCAGTCGGGGGCTGCAGTGCAGTTTACAGCCTGGAAACCTGCTAAATATTCTTCCCGTTGTGACTTCAGCCTTCATCTCGAGTTTATAATTATTTTATATGGTAAAGGATGTCGTCGCTGGAGAAAATAAATCCAACCTCTAAGTAGACATTTAGGTTTAAAAGATGTCCAATTAGGAAAATGTTCCTGATACATTGTTAGTGACTTTCTAAAATGCAAACCACAGAGCTATATGTCTAGAACGATCCAAATGTTGCTTCTTTAAAAAGATACCCATACATTAAAAAAGACCAAAGGAATACACATAAAGGCTAACTCTGGGGATTAGAGATAGGCATTATTTTTTATTTTTCCATTTGTGTTTTTTATAATTTCCAAATTTTCTATAGTGAAGTCTATTATATCCATAATTTAAATGTTAAATTTTTTACAAAGGTTTCAGAGTCAACGAGGCAGGAGACTTCCATAACAACCTCAAGTTTTGCATTTCTTTTAACTTAAGTCATTCATTGATTTGCTCATTCAACCACATCCAGTGATCTCTGCTGGGCTGGGATCGTGCTCTGACTTGATCAGATGCTGATCCCCTTGAGGATTTCCCTGTGCAGTGGGTGGCCCAGTGGACGGTCAGACAGTCAGGGGCCACTCCAGTCTGTACATTTTACAGGCTTAGAGAAATGTATGAAGACATGTATCCACCATTCTGTATCACACTGAGGATTGTCACTGTCCTAAAATCCTCTTTGCTCTACTCAGCCCCCCTTCCTCCCCAACCCCTGGCAATTACTGATCTTTTTTACTGTCATCATAGTTGTGACTTTTCCAGAACATCCACAGTCACACAGCAGGGAGGCTTTTCAGATTGAATTTTTTTTTTTTTTACTTAGAAACCTACATTTACATTTCCTCTCTGTATTTTCATGGTTTTGTAGCTCATTTCTTTTAACCATTGAAAAATATTTAATTGTGTAGATAATAAACTACAGTTTATCTACTCACTACTCAAGGACATTTTGGTTGCTTTTATTTGGGGAATTGTGACTCAGGATGTAGTATATCCTTAAAAAGACCAAGGTGTTTCCTAGCTCAGACATAATGACCAGGCCAAAAGCAATGAGCATCAGTTGTGGTCTCTGAATACTACTCCCTGCTCAAAGAAACCAGGGCTCCTTGGAGAAATGAATGATTCAGACCAGGTCTGAAGAAAATGTGTAAAAAGAATCTGGAGCATCTGTTTTTCCAGAAAGCAAGGAAGTTACCAAAGTCTACTGGGGTTAGAGACCTCCAGGGTCAACTGGAAGAGCTTTTATCGGCTGAATGAGAACATTCGAGCATCAATAAGAATAATAATTGCAGGGGATTGAAACACACCAAATAACATCAAATCCCTATGTTCATGATGATATTAAAAAACCTCAATGAAA